CAGGCCCCTCGAATACGTTAAGCTGCCTCTTTTACCCAGCCGCATACCATAATTATCAACTTCGGCAAATTTGAACTTATAACTGATCCGGAAAGTTAACTCACATCTCCCAAGTCCGACTTACATTATTATGTCCTCTGATATCGGCTAAGCAAATGGAATATTTGAACAAATAAATTTGAACTTTTGGGATCTCTCCAAATTGCAACGTTTCCTCTTAAATTTGAAACCCGGAGATCAAGACCTTAAAAAACACCAAATTTCAGATCAAAGCCTACAAACTCATATCTACACTCAGAAGAACACTCTCATGAAGTTTTTATTTTTTATTTTTTATTTTTATTTTTTATATCCACTAAAATGCAGCTGATGAAGTGAAAATGTTTAAGAAATATCTTGTTCGACGGGTAGATGCCAAACGGATTATTGTTTATTGAAGATTGTAAAGGTGGTACAGTAATTTCTTTTCTTTTTTTTTTTAATTAGTTTTTTATATATACTGTAAAGGTGTTACAGTAGTTTACTATATACACTTGTTAGGGGCAATTAATGTCATTATGACAACCATGGATTTCAAAGATTTGTGAACTTGGTCTTCTATCCAAAATGGATCTTGGACTTGATGTTTGTATGCAGAAAATGTACCACTGGCCCAAGTTCGAAATATGTTATGTTTTATTTATTTATTTATTTTCATTATCTTCCATACATTATTTTTTGAACGCTTGCGAGAATTCTATATATCGCTGGATCGAAAACATGGTTCATATATACGTCAGAATTTTCCAAGCAGTAAATTTAAATGAACACTAAGTTATGAGTTGTTTCCTTTGTCTCAAGAAATAATCCAGCATAAAACTCAATTCAATATAAGCTAATTTTTTGAGACATGTATAGTACCACTGTTCCAAAATTATTGTCCAGTTTGTAGTTCACTTTTAATTTAATTTTTACTAAAAATGAAAACTCAAACTTAATAATGATTTTGGGACGAAAGAGTATATAAATCAAGATTTGAATCTCGCTAATTGGAATTGGAAGGTAGGCAAGGAATGTTATGGTAAATGAGGACACTGGAATTGTTTTAAGCTTGTGATATGCAAATGTTTATCCATTAGAAATAGAGCTGTAAGAGTCATTCAATTTTATACTAATAATGGATTAGATCAAAATAGCTTATTTAAATTCGACGCGTCTTAATTTGGTGAACTTGTTAGAAATCAATTTATTAATGCACTAATGCATCTTGAGTCGTACTACTTAAACAGTCTCTCTGTATTTAAATATTGGGATAACACTGCGTACATCATGATCCCCAGACCCCAACCAACTTAGAAATAAACTGGGAATGTTGTTGTTGTGATATGCAAGTGTACTACATTTCTCGGAAGCCATTTTTTGGTTAATTGCTCAGCGAGATTAGTAGCAAAGTAGCTGTAAGGATTTTGATAGTTACATCTACGGATACAAGTTATAATATGATATTCCCTCTAATCCTTAATATAAGATATTTTGATTTATTTTAGGTTCACTTAGTATGTATTTTTAATTAACAAAAAAATTTTAAAAATATATCATAACAATCAAGAGAACAAAACGAATGTAAAAATATATTTTTAAAGATTTTTTTTGTCAATTAAAAACGTGTACTAGGTTTCACCTAGGATAAATAAAAATATCTTATCTTATAATAAACTCTGAAAGGGAGTATGATTTTAGGCAGTTCCCTCCTTAGTACCTTAGCAGTAAAAAGAAATATTTTAAAATTATATATAGTCTTTGAATTTGCTTGAAGGTTTCCTAATGCTTTTTGGTCTCTTTGTTGGGCCTGCATCAATCAGCGTTAGGAATCTGGATCAAAGGTAAAGCAGGAAAATTAGCTGAAATTAATGAGAAGTGTTTTTGTCTTTTGTCACATGAAACCATTAATTTTTTACCATCATGGGCGGCGGTATACTTCCGGACCTCTGAATCTGTTTGTGCAGAAAAAATCACTTTAAACCATGAGAAAGAAGGGACAAAATTTCTTAAAACATACAAAATCAAGCGATTGTGGATGAGTTCAAAATCTGCCCCTGACCTAGAATTGAGGGCTTAGGGTTAGATTTGGTTTGTAAATTAAAAAAAAAAGATTAAACAAGATGAGAGGGAAACGAGTCTAATGGCTTTAATTCTTAATAGTGAGAAAAAAACCCTAGCACAGGCAAATTATAGATGATGCCGATGACAAGCTATTATATAGAGTAAAAAAGATATAAGCGCCGACTAGACGTAGTCGATGACACGCTATGACACAAACCAGAAAGATATTAACACTGACAGGAATGCCTATCGCCGACAGGGAATGCCTAGTCGATAGAACGCTATTATAGAGAAAGACTGAATTCGCTGAAGTAGAATCTATGAATTATTACCTATTTCTATGAAAGAAAATAGGCAAACACCTATCTATGCTAAGCTACATCTAGAAAAGAACGATAAAATACATGAAGTAAAAACTAAAAAGAAAGAAAATAAAAGACTCATGATTTGATGATTTGAGGTATGTCCGTGCGCAGCCTTGCTTTAAATAGAGGAGTAGGAGCCGTGACTTTTTGTGCCAAAAGTAGATCAAATTTGCTTGCAACTCTAACTCCGTAAAAACTAGCAATTCGACCGCACAAGAGAAATACTAGTTGATCGAAAATACAACTCCTGTTTTGTAGGTTACCTTCCACGTGAATCTCTGCCCACCAAATTCTAATCAAAGTAGAAAACTAATACAATACTTCATTAAGTCTAAATTAATTTTCCAAAACCTTGCTCAAAGTGAAATCCTCGAACAAGTAGAAAATTAACCAATTATTATCGCATTGGTCACGTGGGAACCTTTTTCAAACCCAGCCAAATTCCAACTCCTTTTGTGGTCACAATTACATATTTTTGGGGGTCAAACAGAATCAATTGTTACCCTCTTTATAATTTGCGCATTGTAACTGAAGTTTGATTTCTGAATTTTCTTTTGGGGGTAGATTTCTGTTTACTGATTGCAAATGAGACTGATGTTAATTGATGTCTTTGGCTGTGTTCGGGGCAATCAATCTATCCAAGGCTGAGTTAGAGGTTTTTGGACAAGACGAAAAGCGTAGCAGGATTTGGAAGTTAAAATGAGACGTATGCATTGTATTTACAATTTCAAATATCACCACAACTTTCCCAAGATAGAGTTTTGGAATACAAAATGAGTGTAAACAATGCTTTTAAAATGATCTTCCTAAACAAACAACCCTCCTCTTTGGAAGATGCCTCAATTAGACAAGAGGCACTCTGTTTTCGAGATCCTCAATTTGTTCTCTCCATTATTTACATAGATCATCATCCAAATCTGTCACATAGATCATGATCCAATGAGTTTGCCAGATGGAGGTGTTTGCGATATGGCTCATGTATCCGTAAGAAAGAAAATCCAATCGACAATGTTCAATCAACATGTCTTCGCAACCTTTTCAGGTTGTAGTTGGATAGCAGCTGATTCCAGATATGCACCTTGTATCTAAGTTGTATTACCAAATCCAGATTAAGTAATTGTAGGGGAAAGGCTCTTCATATCAAGCAAATAAACTATTTCTTGTGCTTCATCATCCGGATCTTCTTTAGCTACCACTGCCATTTTAACGGAAATAAAAAATTATGAACGTCAATACAATCTTCCAAGCGATTGCTACGACAATATATCAACCCAGAAAAACATGAAGGCTGTGACTGATTTGGAAAGCTTATCTGAACCAAATCATATTATATGGCCTCTCGAATTGACTAATAAAATGGGGAAAAAGAAAAATACGAGAATCTGAAACTTAAGGGATCCGTAAAATTTGTGAAATACACCAGAGAATGCCGTAGTACGGATCAACTCATGTCTACACTAAGAGTCAGAGAGCTTTCTACTAAAAACTTAAGAAGTCTCTGGAATAAAACACTTCACTCATACGCAGATGAAAAAGCGAAAATGTTGTAGAACTCTTGGGAAGCGCAAGCTGCCGAATGGGGGTTATATTCACGTCAATAGGGCAAGAAGGATAAAAATGGGCCTAATAGATTGATTACTTGGTCTTCATTTCAAATGGGCCTCAGGCTACTAAAATGATAAGTCTAATAAAATGTATTTCCTCTATCTCGAGTAGAACTACTACTACCTGATCAAAGCAAAAATATTTTCTGTATATTTCTGGATAGGGTTCAACATCATATGAAGGTTGCCATGGGATTCACTGTTGTGGTTAGCCCTCTTGACGGTCTCGTTTGGTATAATGCATTAGTGAACCGATTGATGACGATTTGGAAATCCAAGGGGGAATTGGAGGTGTCGGATGTCTTCAATGGCCATTATTTCGTTCGATTGAGCCACGAAGATGACTACAATAATGCGATGCTTAATGGTCCGTGGACAATTGGTGTGAAGAATCCAATTTACCTTGGGACTTTCCCCTGGACACTGAAGTTTAACCCAATGACAGAAAATCTATCAGTAGTAGCGGCATGGATTCGGATTCTGGAACTTCCTTTACACTACTTCCATGAGGACATCTTAAGGCACAATCTATTGGTGTTTATCTTAAGGCTAACCGGAACACATTATTGGCGGAAAGAGGTCGCTACGCAAGAGTTGCTGTCCAACTGGATTTGACAAAATAAAAGGAATGGTTGATGTGGACCTCCCATCTATCTGTTTTAATTGTGGTTGTGATGGACATAGTATGGATTCATGCTCTTCAGCTCCGGTGGCAGGGGAATCATGACCACCAACAGAAAACACAACACCGGGAAGCAAGGATGAACCCATGGAGAGCACTTAAGTCATACAAGGAGATACTAGTGAGGTGTCAGGTGCCAATACCCAGGAAACCGCGTCGATAGAAGCGCATCGTCCGGGAAGAATCGGAGAATGGATACACGCTCCGAAAAGAGTTTGGCGAGGACCACCAAGAAGGACTTCAACAGTAACTGACAAAGGGAAGCAGATGGTGGGGTCAAACTCTAAAACCTTTGGGAATAATCCTTTTGCACCGTTGTATGGATCACACAATGAGGCAGATAGACCAAAAGATAACGAACCTACCGATCAAACTGGAAATATGGGCTTCTCTAGGCCCAAGAGATTTGAAGTGGGAAGCAATCGAGAGAACAAATTGAAACAAAGACAAAAACGGAAAAATGAAGTAAGAGAAAACCAACATGGATACCTACACAAACAGCTAATCAAGCCACACCTTCACCAACAATGGCGGCCCAGGACAAGAAGTCAGATGCAGTCCAAATGGAAAGTGATGTTTTGAGCTCAAGTTCTAGGAAGCCAGAGATGAAATAGGCATCTCAGAGGAAATAATTCTGGAGAAAAACTCAAAAGACACTGTCATGGAACAAAGAATTGTGAGCACTGAGGAAAATGATCAATTTGAGGGTGATCATAAGGTAGCAGGCTTCCATACGGTGGTTAATTTACCTCATCCTGGATGACCCCTCAAGTCCAAAGATAGCTCGCCAAGATATTCATCGAATTTGGGTAAGCCTCCGGATCCATCAAAACAATTTCATATGAAAGCAAAATTGAAAATTAAGGGATAAGAAGAAACAACTCTTACAACCCAATATGCTATTTTGAAGAGGAAAATAGCCGCTTTTATCCCCTCTGAACAATTAGTTAGCGCTCTATTGAGTAGAGGTGGTGGATTTTAGGTAACTTTTGGTTTCTCTCCGTTATGTTCCAGAGGAACTAGGTTTCTTTCTGCAGGATAAGTTGGAGCATCCAATTAGGATCCCTTTTGTAATCTTTGAAGCACAATGTGTTTTCTCCGTATTTTTTTTTTTTTTAAAAAAAAAGCAAAAATATTTTACGGTTTCCATTTTCATTGGTTTTCATACATCATCTTTTGACAGAGAGGTACCTCAACCTTTGGCTCACCCCAATTATATATATATATATGTGTGTGTGTGTGTGTGTGTGTATAAAAAATCTTTTGACAGAAATAAAATCAACTTAAAATTCTGATGTTTTTCTGGGGACTAATAGCCACATATGGTCCTTTACATTATTCATAGCAAGCATCCGCCCTATATGTCTAATATTTTGGTCCTTTTTTTTCTTCTATTTTGATCCAAGATCACTATTTCAACTGTAATTGTCCTTGAAAAGTCATCGAACTCCTGAGTTCATAGATTTTTTTTAAATGACGATAATTTCTTTCATTCTGCCAAATCTCAGTTGTCTCTCCAAGGAGATTGAAACCAATCTTTTTTGTCCTAATTCCAACCCTTGAGAGAAGTTTGGGAGGAAAACAAAATTTGTAAACTGTGCGCCTATTATAAGTAAAAGAGTATAGAAACGGTATTGTACCCATGAGTCTTTGACTTGAGAAAATTTGTTGAAAGCTAAAAATGTACAGTTTCTTAAATCGAGTGAATTCATGAAAGGAGGGCAAGATGTGCAGTGATTTGGGCCAAATGTGTAGTTTAGATTTAAAACAAATTTCATTCAGTCTCGAAGTTCGCATTTTGTAAAATGGATCATGGCTTGTGTAAGATCCACCTCCTTTACGATCTGTCTTAATGGTGCAAATGGGGCTACTTTGATGGGAAAAGGGGCCTGAGACAGGGAGACCCAGTCTCACCATTTTTATTTGTTTTGTTGGTGGAATACTTCACCCAGCAACTCAAGGAAGCTTCTGATCTCCCGGGTTTTAGGTTCCACCCTCTACGTAGTAGCATTAGATTAACAAATATTTGTTTTGCGGATTTAATGCTATTTTGTAAAGCTGACATCCCTACTATGGAGCATATAATGAATGCCTTCCGGGAATTCTCAAAGTCTTCTGGACTGAGAGCGAATCTACTCAAGTCTGAAGTCTTCTTTGGAGGAACTGATGAAGACAGGAAAAAATGAATATGTGCTGTAACATGCATAAAGGAAGGGAATTTCCCAATGAGGTATCTTGGGACTTCCACTTTCCCCGAAGAAGTGGTATCAATGGGAATGCCATACTTTGCCGGAAAAGATAGTCAACAGATTGAAGTGTTGGAGTACCCGCTATCTCTCATAAGCAGGTCGACTCCAATTGGTGAACAGTGTACTAATGAACCTGCATATCTACTGGACCTCTGGATTCATCCTTCCCCAGAGTGTCACAGAAGCAATTAACAGGAAATGTAGGGAATTCTTATGGGGTGTCAGACAGTCTGGAAGGTATTTTTCTTTGGTAGGCTGGGAGACGATGTGCTGCAAGAAATCTGAGGGAGGACTTAGCATATATGATGCTAAAATTTGGAATGAAGCCGCAATCATCAAACAGGTGTGGTGGATTGCTAGTAACAAGGAAAGCTTGTGGTCTAAGTGGATCAATGAAGTTTACCTAGGGGGACTAAGCATATGGGAAGCACCAACCAGAACTGAGTGTAGCTGGGCATGGAAGCAGATCATCAGAATGAGGGACAAGGCAAAAGAGGGATTTTGTGATGGAAAATGGATTGGTACCAGTAAAGGTCAATATACCATTACATCAGGCTATAAATGGTTACAAGGGGAGAAGGAGAAATGACTGCTGCTCCAACGATTTGGTCAAGGTTTAACCTACCTAAGCATTCATTCATAGCCTGGATGGTATGGAGGAAGAGAGTGTGGACCAAGGAAAGGATGCAATAGCTAAACATCTATGTTCAAGACACTAGATGCAGTTTATGTGAGGTATCAGCTTAAACTTTTGATCATGTTTTCTTTGGTTGTCAGTTTTCAGCTGCTCTGCTCAGCCTTCTTCAGCAATGGCTTGGCATGAGAAGACTATCCATCCAACAGGGAAGGTGGCAAACTGAATTGCAGCACATTTGGAAGAACACCAGTTTGAAGAAGAAAATATTACATGCAGCAATAATGGCAAGCATATATGTCTTGTGGGAAGAGAGAAATGGTCGAATCTTTAGGAACCATAAGAGGGATGTGGCTATATTGTTCCAGGAAATTCAGAAGACTGTAAAAACCAGAGTGATGCACTGCAAGAAGGGGAGACTGTCATCCAAGGAGAAGGCCATATGTGACCAACTCTTTTGCTGAAAAATGTGACAGGGTTTTGATGCTTTGTTCAGACAGCTTCTTTTGTCTAGATTTGAAGCTGTCTACTTTTGCTGTAAAGTGTGAATAGGGAAAGGTTAAATAGCAGACCTTGATAGGAAATTTGTACTTAAATGCCTCCATCTATGAAATAGATTCACAGTTTTCACAAAAAAAAAGGTTCACATATTGGACATGCGGTCAAAAAAAGCAGCAAATGTAAGAATATTTAGAATAGAAAGAAGCAAACACATTTTTGCTTGCCCTGCTCATAGAATTTTTGTCACCTGCTCAACAAAACTTTCAATAGCTTTATTTCTCCAACACATTGTGTGCTCTATTGTATTATGAATATCCTGTGTACGGTTTGCAACCTATTCTACTTTTTGAAATCCGAAATATCCTTTCAAATCGTGGAACTCACCCGAAAACAAACTTTCTTGCTCATTTGGAATCCGTAATATGAATTTTCTTGCTCATTTGCAATCCGTAATTTGAAAACAAGCACATATTTCTCACCTGGAATGAATTTGAACCGATGTTATTGGCAGCATCTCCTCTTAATTTCAAAGCCTAAAATGAAGACCGTTGAAGATCACGTTTGAGATCAAACCTTACAAACTCATACTTCTACACTAAGAAGTCAATAGAACACTGCTGAAGAGCCATGTTTCTTACACTCAAAATGAAGCTACAGAAATGAGAAAATGTTAAAGAAGATTTTGTTCGGTCGACAGAAAGTATCGTAAGTTTGGAGCGTTGGTTTCTTTATGATGACATTTCATTCATCATGGCTCACGCGAAGACTGATTGATACTGACTGAACAGTCCCAGTCGTCTTTTCATCTTATTTGTCCCAATTCCCACACTTTAATTGAGAAGTTTGGGAGGGGGGAAAACAGAAGGTGAACCAAGTGACGTATTCCCAACACCGTTAGGGAGAATTATATGAGAAAAGAAAGGTTTTGTTCTCATAATTATATATGCAGAGATCTTTGACTTCGCGAATTCTTTTGGTTGAAAGTTAAAAATGCACAATTAATTACGTGAATGCAAGGAAGGAGGGTGAGATGTGCACTGATATCTGCAGAATGTTCTTCACCAAATTTAGTTTAGGTTTTGACACACTATCAAAGAAAGCACCAAATGATGCTACCAAAAGATATACCTGACTTACTTCAAGAATATATTTGCAAAAAAAAAAAAAAAAGAAGCACATAAATTTTTTACTTGTTGGCTGCTCAATTAACATTTGAAGATCAAAAGTCTTTGTTGTTTTGCTCGCTCTAGAAACTTTTATTATAGTTCTAAGAATGATTTTCTCTCGATCAATGAATACATGGTCTTTATTTTTATGAAATTAATAACAAACCAAAGTCACGGAGTCTCCGGCATGTTTTATCGTTCTTCAGTATATTTGGCACTTATCTGGGCTTTTATTCAAACAAGCTCATCAGGCGAAAATTATACCATGCACATTAAGTGCATGTAGCTAGATACACAAAGACTCTTATTTGGCAATTAATATAAGAAAAGAGGGCTAAACATGCAAGTCTTTAGAGTTAGGTGAAACATATGCACCACCCTTCCTTATTTTTAGGAAATGGGTTTCAAAATTTTCTTTAATCTTCAAATGATTTTTTCTCTCAATGCATAAAAAATTACATCAAATGTCTTATATCATTTTGATAGTATTCGATAAGATTTATTCAACAAGATCCATTATGAATATGTTTTCGAAACTTAAAAAAATTTATACAGTAGCCTTGGCCTTACTAAAAGACATTCTGGTATTACTTGTGTCTTTTAGGACCAAGACCTACAGAAAAGACCAAAGGTCAAAGCCTAAATACCAAAAAATGAATACCAAAGAGCAAAGACCAAGGACCAGAGTAAAGAGCAAGCGTGTATGAGGAACAAAGACAAAAGACCAAAGACCAAAGACCAAGAAACCGAAGACCAAAGAGAAAAAATCAAAGACCAAAGACCAGAGTGAAAGAGCGAGTATTGTGCGAGGAGTAAAGAAAAAATACCAAAAACCAAAGAGCAAATACCAAAGATCAAAGACCGAAGGCCAACAACCAAAGACTAAAGACCAAAGACCAAAGACCAAAAACCAAAGACCGAATGCCAATAACCAATGACTAAAGACCAATGACTGAAAGTCAAAGACCAGAGACCAAAGGCCAAAGACCAAAAACTAAAGACCAAAAATCAAATACCAAAGACTAGAATTAAAAGCGAGTATGTGTGAGGAATAAAGACCAAAAGCCAAAAATAAAAAAATCGAAAAAATATTAATGTGTTTAGAATTTAGGGGGTTTAAACATTTTCTTGTCGGTTAGGGTCTAGTTGTTTAGGATTTAGGGTTTAGGGGGTTTAAGCATATCCTTATCAGTTAGGGCTTTATTTGTGCCGT